GGAGCTCTGAATCACTGCTAGCAGGAAGACACTTTGAAAAAAAGTTTGGTGGTTTCTTATAAAATGAATGTAGACTAACCATACAACCATACAACATAGTACTAGCACTACTAGGCTTACCCAACTGATTTGAAAACATATGTCCATATAAAAACAACAAATCCTTATAAAAACTTTATTTATAATTACTGAAAAGTAGAAGCAACCAAGATATCCTTTACATAGATGAATGGATAAATAATCTATGTTACATCTATACAATGAAATAAAAAAAACTCACTGCCCTTGAGTCGGATCTGCCTCATAGTGACCCCTCCTTTGGTTTCTGAGGCAATGTCACTATGGAAATAGATTGCCCAATCTTCCTTCTGAGGAGTGGCTGGTGGGTTTGAACTGCTGGCCTTCTTGTTAGCAGCAAATGCCTTAGGCGCTATGCAGCAATAAAAAGATGTTATGGTTGTTAGCTGCTGTAAAATCTGATTTGATTCATGGCAACCCCAGACATAATGCAACAAAACACTGTCTGGTTCTGCATTATCCTGGCATTGGCTGCCAAGGGTTTCAGGAGGGGAAATTATTCGATTAGAGGAGGAATAAGGAATTTTGAGAGTGGTGGAAGTTATCTGGATGTGTGACAACATGCAATTGTCAAAGCCCATAGAACTTTATAGCATAAGGAATAAGCCTTAATGTATAAAATAAAACATAAAAAAATATAAACAAACCTAACTATATTATAAATATAAAGCATAACCTCACTTAAGGAGACAGGAGGAAAAAAAAGAAGCCAATCTAAGTAACTTTGGAAATGGTATTTGGCTTGGAAATAGTAAGATTAAAAACTAAAGGAACTGTTCATAAACAGTGTGTTGTAGTTGGTAAGTTGTTTCTCATGGTATATGGGTAAAGATCAATGATTCTGAAAAATTTATACTGAGATTTTACACTGTACATTGAAGTTGAACAAATAAGTAAGTAGATGGATGGTGGGAGACAGGTTTCTCACTGTTGGAGAGGGAAATAATAAATATGCAAGTGCGGTAGTTAAGGTTACATGTCAACTTAGTTGGGCCTGGTTTTGAGTGATCGGGCAGCTGGATGTAGTTATTCTCCATGATGAGATTGGTAATTAATTCCATGGTGGAATCTCCTGGAATATCTGAGTATCTGCTTTAGGGATGTGGTCTGCTTCCAGTATCTAAGGAGAAGCGTTTAGAAAGATCTGCAGCTTTATGGCACGCTTGGACCCTGCATGTAGCCGAATCTCTATTCAGCAACCTGCCATTCCTGCTGATCTTGGGACGGTCTCTGGACCTCAATTAGTAGCCTGCCATGTTGTTTGGTAGTTTTGGGACTGTGCCTTTTTACTTGTCAACCTTGCATTTGTCAGCCGTTAGCTGCCTGAGTTAAGCCTCCAGCTTCAGTGGGCTAGAAGCAAGAGGCAGAGCTGAAGCCCGAGGCTGAGGTGCTTTCACCCAACCCCTAGAGCCTGGCACTTTGAACTTGGACTTTCAGCCTCCAAAACTGTAAGAGAATAGATCCCTGTTTGTTCAAGTGACCCATTTGTGGTATTTTCTGTTAGAGCAGTACTGTTGTTGTTGTTGTTGTATGCCGTTGAGTCAGCCCCGACTCATAGTGACCCCTCCTTGGATTTCCGAGATAGTATCACTACGGAAGTAGGATTGCCCAACCTTCCTTCCGAGGAGTGGCTGGTGGGTTTGAATCACCAGCCTTCTGGTTAGCAGTCAAGTGCCTTAGGCACTATGCTACCAGAGCTCCTAGAGCAGTACTAGACAACCCAAATAGCAAGAGATGGAGACATCAGTTATGAACTCATATGTAGCTTAATATAGATACAGATGGATATACAAATAATAATGGATATATATATATATATATATATATATAAAGTTAACATACATATATATCTTTCCTAGCTCTATCTGCTTAGAGGGCCTAGAAGGTAGGATACCTCAGCAACAATGAGCATGCCCCAAACCCAGATTTTGGATCCCATGCCATTCTTTAAGAATCCTTGGAGAAATAGTTGATTCTAGGGGTGCTACAGTGAATTTAAATAATGACTTTGAACTCTCTTGTAATGTCAGAAAGTAAGAAAGTGCTCAAAAAGAAAAGATGGCAGTATATCAAAGATATATAGGCGCCAACCTGAAAGAGTTCTCAATGGCCAAAGCTGGAACAATCTGACCAATAAAATAAATTGTATTAGATTATACCCCAAAGTTTTAAATAAATATCCACCAGTTCATATTGACATAAATTGAATAAAAAACAAATGTGGGAAAAGAGACAAGTCTCCTGTATAGAAGAATTCTAGACTATTTATGTAGACATTCACCCCTTCTGAAGCTAGAACTTAACTCCTTCCCACTCACCTCCCATCCTTGACTATGGAATGCACTTAAGTGATTTGCCTCTGAAGAGTAGAGTGTGAAAGGGAATATGGGGAGAAGTAACTTTACAGTGCAGAAATCTAGCAAACACTACCTTCGCCAGGTTATTAAGGTTAAAAATCACTGGTGATAAGCCATGTTATTAGCATGTACCCTTGAAATGATGTGTTAAGAATGGCTTTTCACCTCCAAACCCATAAGCCAAGTGGTCTTCATCCCCCAAACCCATAAACCTAGTCTAATCATGATAAAAACTTCAGACAATCCCAAATTGAAAGATACTCTATAAAATACATGAGCAGTATTCCTCAAAACTGTCAAGGCCATCAAAACAAGGGAAGTCTAAGAAACTGTGACAACTTAAATATTGTCACTGTCAGTATTATTTAATGACCTTTAGTTTTGTCTTCATAATGAAGTTTGTTTTAATTAGTACTTTACTCTCATTCTCTGCAGAGTCTAGAACAACACTAGGCAGAAAGCAAATGTGTGATAAGTATATGACTGATGATTATAATGTATTAGATGATTACATTCTATCTTTACAGGTAACATTTCTAGATGCTATAGGGACTTTTTATCAAAATCATGTTCATGAATGAACAGCATTTTCATCATTTGAAAGTGTGTTAGAAATGCACAATTTCAAGCCCCACCGCAGACTTATTGCAGCAGAATCTGCATTTTATAAAGATCCCCAGGTGATTAATGTATACATTACAATTTGAGAAGGACTTATTTTTAGGGCACAGTTTTCTACGTTTTGTCTATTACATACCTATATCAGAATAACCTGTGTTGCTAGTTAAAAAATCCAGATTCAGCTGAGACCAATCTTGCACAGACACCAGTAATAACAAAATACCTGCAATCCTTACAGAAACAACAGAAGACAGATGTAGAGTAATCCCTCACAGAAGACAACCAGACACTATGGGAGGGAGATCCAACATATCTCCCGTCTCAGGACTATAGTACCGGGGGACACCGGATTCAATTGGCATAACAAAATACGTAAAAGCCTTGTTCCGCATCCTACATTGGTGAGTAGCGATCAGGGTCTTAAAAGCTTTCAAGCAGTCATGTAAGATGCAGCTAATGGTCTCCTAGCATCAGAAGCAAAGAAGAATGTAAACAAAACAAAACAAAAACAAGAGTATTTGGAAGCAATCAGCCATAGGACACAATGGCCCTCAAGACCAAAAGAACTAGATGGTGCCCAGCTACTAATGCCAACCACTCAGGAAAAGATCAAATCTGGAGATCCTGGATAGAGTAGGAGGAAAAATGTGGAACAAAATCCAAAAACTCAGTAAGGACCAGAATTACTGGTCAGAGGAAGTCTGATGACAACCCCAATATGATGGCCCTGGAATACATTCTGCACCTGGAATAAAACTCACCCCCAGGGGCTGGCTCTCAGCCCAGTAGTTAACAAGATGTACATGCAGACCACTCAACCCAGGATGATGCACCCACATACTCTATGGTAATACATCCATTAGAGCAGTGGACCACAGGGCACCAGAGGACCAACATTCAGGTTGAGGAAATGCAGGACAAATAGGAGTGCATAAATATGAGGGGCACAGGGGAAGGGTTACAGGGTAAGAAGGGGAGGAGACTGGGTTAGGGTTGAACATGGTAAATGGGGAGTGAAACTACATGTAACATTGAATGTAAAACAAGCTCTTAAAATAATAATAATAATAATAATAATAATAAAATGTAGACTCTTAGGCTCCATCCTTTGCATATATCACTGTAGTTTAAGATTCATAAATATACAAAAAAAAAAAAAAACCCAAACCAAATGCTCTGCCATCAAGTCATACCTGACTCATAGCAACCCCTCCCTGGGTTTCCAAGGCAGTATCTCTATGGAAGTACACTTCCCTTTCTTCCTCTGGAGGCGTGGCTGGTGGTTTTGAACTGCCAGCCTTCTGGTGAGCAGTCAAATACCTTAGGCACTATGCCACCAGAGCCCCTCTACACTACCTGAGCTCCTATAAAAACTATTTCTATAAGAACTATAAGAACTAAGCTCCTATTTACAAATAAAAAATAGTGAAAAGAGAAGAAATAGTAACCAGAGTGCTGAAATAAATTTTAAAATTAATAATACAAGGTAGAGAGAAGAAAAGAGTCACAAAAGAGGGTAGAGTAAGGACACAAACAATAGAACTATGAAGAAGTAGAGTAAAGAAAGTAACTGTACTGAAGAAAATTCAAAACTCACTGCTGTAGAGTCGATTCTGACTCATAGAGACCCCTCCTTGGGTTTCTAAGGCGATCTCTACTAAAGTAGATTGCCCAATCTTCCTTCCAAGGAGTTGGCTGGTGGGTTTGAACCACCAGCCTTGTGCTTAGCAGTCAAAAGTGATGTACATTTTTCTTAGTGACTGTTATCCCAACACGCAAAGTAGTAGTATAATGCTAACAGTTTTAGTAAAGTCTGAAATTTTCTACTGTAATATATAAGAATCAGTAATGTTTTTGAATATGTAACTATCACATAATACTTGCACTTCATATATGCTCCTAAAATCTATACAAACAGAATACTAGTTTCAAATGTATACATACACTTTTAAAGACATTTCCATATGCTTGACTCGCGCAATTGCTTCATCTCTCTCTTCATTGGCTAATTGCAGTCTAGACATAATAGCTTCATCACGTTCCCTCTGTGCACAATAGATTTCTTCAACTAGAGCTATCAAAATATATAATTCATAATTAGACAAAATAAAACAGAAGTACATACTTTTAGCAAAGAGAAAAAATTTGCTATTTTTAGGAACGTCTGTTTATTAAATAGAATGGTTTCAAAGGCATTATCAATTAAGAGCCTCAGGCAACATTATTTTCAAAAGTTACTACAAAACTGAAATGCCATTTCATACCTATAAAAAAGCAAAAAATTAAAGACTTTAATAAATAACAGGGAGCTCTGGTAGCATAGTGGCTAAGGCACTTGACTGCTAACCAGAAGGCTGGCGGTTCAGACCCACCAGCCACTCCTCGGAAGGAAGATGGGGCAATCTACTTCCGTAGTGATACTGCCTCGGAAACCCAAGGAGGGGTCGCTATGAGTTGGGGCCAACTTGACGGCACATAACAACAACAATAAATAACAAATGTTGTCTAAGAATAATAAATGTGAAGTTGTAGGACAAAGGAGACTCATTCACACTGCTCAATACTGTTGTTCTTCTCGTTGGCTGCCACTGAGCTTTTCCCTGATTCGTGGTGACTTCATGTGTTTCAGAGGACAACTGCTCCAAGGGTTTTATGAATGGAATCTTTACCAAAGCAGTGTGCCAGGCCTTTCTTCTATGGAACCACTGATTGAGTCTGAACCGCCGAGCTTTAGGGTAGTCACTGATCGCAAACCATTTTTCCTATATATATAGGCTCCCTATATATTGTTGATAGGAGTGTATAGTTTTACAACCATCTGAAGAGCATTTTGGTAATATTTAGTAAAGTTACAGATGTGTCTAAACCAACAACCTAGCAATTTTCCTTTTTGATATGTAGCCTAGAGCAATTATTTCACATGTATACAGGAAACATGTATAAAAATTCTTACTGCAGAGTTTGTTTGAATAGCAAAAATTTAGAAATAATTTAAATGCCCATCAACATGGAATAAATTACTACACATTCATAATGGAATACTATCCAGCAGTTAAAATGAGTAATATAGAGCTACAGATGTTTTTGGACAAATCTCAGAAACTAAGTGTTGGCAAAAATATAAATTATAAAGCAAAAAATTTCTACATATTATTTATGGATAGACACAATTAGTAAAAATATATAACATGTATGGAAATAATAAGCACCAAATTCAGGATAGTAGTTACCTCAGTGGGATAGGGGAAGGAGAAGAAAAGAAATGGGATCAGGGGCTGTGTTACACAGAGGCACAGCTGTGCTGATTTTCTACTGCACATCTTCAGGGGACACCATATATATATATATATATATATATATATATATATATATATAATACAAGGGACATGTCCTAGTTTTGTGCATTGCTATATTGACAGCTTTGATGTTACACGAAATCATCATTTAAGCACAGCCTCTACTTTTGCATACTTGAAATCTTATATAACTTTTAAAATAATGCTTCAATGTTAGACATACTGGAACTTGAATAACTGCATCATCAAATTTCATTTATGTCGACAAACCACAAGCAATAGTTCATCACAAACTAAATTCAGAAAAAAAAGTTTGAAATTTTTCTTTTAGTCTATGAAATATTAGTTACCTGTAAGATGTATCATATATTAATACAAAATTAAGATAGTTATCATTGTAGCTACTTATATTATCCATGGTGGAAAAGAAACTGAGAACAAATCAAATATATATTTTTCCATTAACAGAATAAAAATGTAACCTGCAGGTGGGAATAGCCACATTAGAAAAGTGTGGCAGATTCTTAAAAAATTAAATATGTATCTACCATATTATTGATTACTATATCTACACAAGAGAAATTAAAGCATGTGCTCATACAAAGACTTGAACAAAGCATCATTATAATTCCAAAACTAGGTTCCACTGCATTGGTTCCAACCCACAGTGACCCTGTATACAACAGAATGAAACACTGCCCAGTCCTGCACTATCCTCACAATTGTTGCATGTTTGAGCCCACTGTTGCAGTCACCATGTCAGTTCATCTTGCTGAAGGTCTTCCTCTTTTCTGCTGATCCTCTACTTTCAAACATGATGTCTTTCTCCTGGAACTGGTCCCTCCTGATAACACATACAAAGTACTCGAGGCAAAGTCTTGCCATTCACCCTTCTAAGGGGCATTCTGGCTGCATTTCTTAGACAAATTTGTTCATTCTTCTGGAAGTCCATAATACCAAACCCAACTCACTGCCATTGGGTCAATTCCAACTCATAGTGACCCCCAATGGGTTTCCAACACAGTAAATCTTTACAGAAGTAGACTTCCCCATCTTCCTTCTCCAGAGTGACTGCTAGGTTTGAATCAACCTTCTGGTTAACAGTCAAATGCTTTAGGCACTGCACCACCAGAGTTCTGGTATTCCATAGTATATTCAATATTCTTCACTAACATCATAATTGAAAGGTATCAATTCTTCTTCAGTCTTCTTTATTCACTTGCATAGGAGGTGACTGAAAATACCTTGGCTTGAGTCAGGTACACTTTACAAATTATACTGGAACAAGGATATTCACATAGATAAAACTGAATGCTTTCGACAGTTTAGATAAGCTTAATCAAGAAATTGTTTCTCATTATGAACATGTATTTTGGAAGGACCAGTAATTCTTAGTACAATTTTCTTAAGGGTTTTTTTTTTGGGGGGGGGTGTTGGGGGGTTGCGTTATTACTCCTATTTGGTTCTCTATGGCTGTACTGTTCTGCTACTATAAATCAACTCATCACACTGATTTGAAAAAAAATTTTCTGCCCATAATGAGCTACACATTACTCAGTTGTATTTGTTCCTGCTGTTACTATACAAGCTCCCCATGAAAAGAACTGTCCTAATAGCTTACAGAAAGCAGTATGGTGTAATGAGAGGAATATGGGCTTTGACCCAGATTCAAGGTGTTGACATACTGAAGTTAGGCAGCCTTGATTTTTAAAAATTTCTTACAATATTTTAGTCTCAGTTCAGATGAACAGAATGTATATAAGGTTGTTAGGGAAAATTAAATTAGATGATAGATATAAAGTCCTTGCCCAAATAAATAAAACAGAATAAACTAAACTCTCAAAAAAGTTAGCTCTATTTCATCACTACCATCACCATCCTCAAACTATAAACTCACAATTCAACTGTATTTCTAGCCACATTAAAAATGTGATTTTGATCAATCTGGGCTTTTTGTTATTTTAAAAAATATTCTGTTGAAAACAGGTGGTTTTATTTATTTATTTTTTTTTTAGTTTTTTATTATGTGCAAAATTGTAAAGAACTGAAAGCAAACCTATTCCAGAACTTATTCTATATATGTACTATATAATATAATGATTCAATAATTTATATATAATATCATGATATTCTATAATTTTTATATTATAAAATACTTCTAATTTATAGGCCAGATAGAATGGATAAAATGAATAAATAGTGGTCTAAGTACAGATTAACATGTATATTGTACTGCCCTAAACTATTCTGGCATATTGAAAGGTTAAAATACTAATCACAAACTTTAAATGCCAATAAGCTTTCTATCACTTCTGTATAGTGTGATGAGATCTTTATAAGGTGACATTTAAAATAAGCTATGTTCCACTTAATATACAATTGCACCTGATGAAAGATGTAAGACTAGCAATATCAAGGGCTTTAATGGTTATCTCTATGCTTATAGGCAAACAATTTACACAGAGGGCTTATCTGGTCTGATGTTTGCAAGAAAAAACATTTTTTCCCCTACTAATGCTATTTCAAATCCAAAGATGTATACGTGTACCTAAAGATTACCTTCTGAGTATTCTAAGGTTAAATCTTGAAATGTTAGGGGGGAAAAAAAAAAAATA